GTCCTATGATAGCCGCGGAACATAGGCTTTTTCTTTTTCCATATGTTCTTCCGAACAGGTAGGTGGGCTAGGACGGGACATATTTTGTTCATCTGTCCCATTTACTGTAAGCTTTTAGTTTGATCCCACGAAGATCGCCATCGCGTGCGTGTTCGCCATCCGTTTTGTCTATCCTCCGCGAGGCCGCTGCCGTTTCACCCGCTCGGAGGCCGTGCCTTCATCCGCCCGTGAAAAGGAGCGGGGAAGGGTCGGACGCCCGGAGTTCTTCGACACGGCTCAATGCGTCTCAATGTCTCAAAGGTCCATCTGTATGGAGGTGTGAATTTGGACTCTTTGGTAAGGGTGTGTTTTTATTCAATCACTTGCCGGGATGTTATGGAACTAGTCAGGGTGTTGGGTGTGAGTGCTTGCAAAAAGAATGTCCGAGACATGGAAGCTCCAGTTGCACTTTCCAGAGTTTGATGGGTGAATTTGAGTCAAGACCCTAAGAACCCTGGGGAATGTCTGTCGGACTGTGTCCCAGGGTTTCCCTGCAGTCGGTCAAAGAGGATCACGATGTCTTGGGGGGAAGGCCTGCAACCTAACCATATCATCTAACCATCATCATCATCATCATCATCAACTGTTGCCGCTAATGGGATGTATCCAAGGAATATCCTTCAATGAGATGATTAAACTTGATGTAATCAGACCTTTCTTCCAGCAAACCAAGTGACAGAGGCAGAAAGAGCTGGTGCCTTCGCTGAACTTTGATCTCTGGGGCTGCACCATTGCACCATCCGATTCTTTCTCACCGCATTTCTCGAAGAGTTGCAGGTCAGCACGAAAGCAAACAGTTCCAGGGTTTTTGCTGATTGCCTTCCATGAGCTTGCAAAGGTAGTTCCAGCAAGATGAAGTTTCTTCACAATGGAGGCTTGCAAGGCAGAGATTGATTCTCTCTGGCAACTGTATACACTATCATGTGTGTATGGGAATCACACTTTTGCGTGGCGGTCTGTGCGGCTCAAGACTCGTTCGTCCGATCATTCATGACCTGAACGAAGTCTACAAGACCATGCTCCAATCTAGGCTACCAACTCCTCCTCAGGGAATTTGTGCATTTATTCAGTTTGGCCAGTTTCAAAGGCAATGTACAAATAGCCGAGCACTGCTTGGCCTGCCTACCACTTGAAGCGTTTACTCCTTGTTTGCATGTTCATATGATTGATTGCGGAGTTTGCACCGGGCGCTTTCAGTCTATTATCACCCCCTTACGAGAATGTCAATGCAGTGCACATCGGTGCAAATTTGAAGTAATCTGACTTTCTGTGCATGATGGTTGAAAGATGGTATCCATGTTGAGTAATTATGTTTGTTCCCAAAGTCTAAAACAAACTCAACTGAAGATTGAAGCACGGGGGTTGCTTGTTCGTCGCTTTTGGGGTCACTCTACAAAGAAAGAAATACTCTAAACTCTAAGATGCTAAAAAGATAGCCACGTGTTGCGCTTTTTCGCACACTTTGACCCTGGCCCTGTTGCTCCTCATGCAGCTGGCGCATCGGGCGGCTCGCCGCTGGCAGATCCCCTCGCGTGGGCCGTCCTTGCTCGCCAAGATGAGAACGCCCAGGCTAGGCTGAAGGTTTGCTGAATATTTGGTTGTTACTAGTATAGCTACTGGTAGCTTCTTGTTATTAGTAGCGATGGCCTCCAACCTACTTGCGATGGCCTCCACCTACTAGCGTCCTAATAGCTGGAAGGTGTGCGTTCGTTGCTAGAGTTGGAAGGAGGCAGTGATGTAACAGCAACGTGAGGACACATTCCAGGAAGTATAAGGACACCCGTGCGAACGTGAGTCAAAGGCTAGCCGTTGGGGTCTGAATTGGTTGCGCAGCGTTCCCAGACAATGCGGCCCGACCAACAGAGCGAAAAAGAAGGCAAAATGGAGATGTTCATGTGCTTACTAAAGGGACTTTTTGATTTAGAGCTGCCCCTTTGCAGATTCAGGCACTCGGTTTTCCTCTACAAACCTCGTGAACAAGTGAGCCAACATTGCCCTCGCACTCGGATCTTCGATCGACGTCAGGTCCTCCTTCGCCCTGGGCCAAGGGCCTCGGGGCTGGACCGGGGGAGACCGAAAGCGTGGGCAAAAGTGCTGAAAGAAGGACCGGTTCCAGGTAGGGCGAAGGACCCATTGGTTTGGCTCGACATCCCATGAACTGGCCCAGTACTTACTGGTGAGTCACTATCCTGAGACCAACTGGTGAACGCCTGGGGCTAAGAAACGTCAACAAGCAATAGCTTCAAACCAGTTATGATACCAGCTGTGCTGCAGTTGCGCAGACTTTCCGGAACGGTTCCAATTTCTTACTCAACTTGCTCATCACAATTCATGTTGCTTGTTTGGTCTTATGCGCATGTTACAGCAGTTTGTGTGGCCTACAATGGACCATATTGAGAGATTCATAGGGTGTTATGATAAAGCTTGTGAAGGTGATAACCTCTTGCTCAGGCAGGAGAGCATGAAATACTTTGAGCATGGAGGCAAAGAATCTCACAGGATGCAAGTCTTTCTTCATCCAACTCATTTGGGAAATCACAGGTGGACATGAAGCAGCTTCTCACAACAACCACATGCATTCAATCAGCTCATGACCGAGAAAGCAATTTGCGAAGCATTCCACGCTCCACCGAGCACCAGCCACCGGCCACGGCGCTAGATCGAGGTCGGCCTCGATGGGGGTGTGGAGCTCAGGGAAGGTTGAGCGGCCGAGCTGGGGACGATGCAAAGTCTATTGGCACAAATGATCCAACTTCAAAAAATCTTTAATTTTGCGTATACGTTATGTTTATATTGTACTTTGGTTCATCCAACTTCAATTCAGACATCATTGAAGAAGTGAAGCATGCCGAAGGTTGGTGAAGGAAGGCACCCTCCAAGCGTGGGACCGTGATCTCACTACCCTGGGACCTGATGCAGGAGCAGTGTGGATGATCCAGGCTGGAATGGATGTGAGGGATGAGCAGTCTCTCATGTGGTGTTGCGGATGGAATGTCATGATGACATTTGGATGGCACAAAGAGTAGCTCAGGTTTGAGTAAATTTACCTTCAGAACCTCGGACATGAAGGTTCAGACTTGGACTGATTGTAACTTGTCCAACTATATAACTCTTTCTTGTCTTTTGTTTGCGGCTCTTGTGAGCCATGCCAGGAAGCTCCACCGATGAGGGCGAACCTCGAACAGAGGAGGAGGCCGGCAACTTCCGTGCGGCCGGCGTTGTGTCGCAATTGCAATGTGCTGAGGAGCTGATGGGGACACCAGCTGAAAAGAGCACAAAGAGAAAATCACTGTAGCATTTGACAGATTACTCAGGATTCATGTCTTGTTTTGTACTATTTGAGGCTTCCAATTGACACAACTCAGCCAAGCGGATGTTATCCACTCTTCTTAACGGCTGATGGTCAGATTTGGGACCCCTGTATTTTTGAGAGAATACCTACCAAGACCTTCCAATAGTTTGTGGTTGGGTGTTCTTGATTCGACTGTCAGGCTGCAGAAGCAGCTTCTCCTCCCCTTTACTCCAATCGTTCAAGTTAGCAACATGCTCCTGATGACCCTACTAGGTGGTCACTTGTGATTTGGACACCCCTTAAGATCTATGCTTCATTTAGAGAGCGGCCTCCTTCCGACTGTTCGACCACCTGGCATAGAGAAAACCCTGATACAATACATATTTACAGGGTTTGGGGTGGTTGTAGGTGATTCAGGAAAGTAGTACCAGACACATCGAGAAGGTGCCTTCTCACACCGCTTTTGGTCAAACGGAACGGAACGGCTTCTGTCGAGGAGTCCGGAGGCCTCTTCTCTGACGCGCTCGGGCGCCCAGATCGAGCGATGTTGGGAAGTGTTTTTGAACGTTTGAGCATGTCAGTCCTCAAGACAGTGAACTGAGACATGGCACCCACAAGAGGAGGAATATTTGTTTCTTTGGAGGGCTGGGTTTGTGCACCTCTAGAAATTGAATGCTTGGAGTCGCTTAAGCCCAACACGCAGCTTTTTCTATGACTGCAACTGGAAGTACTAAATGCCAGCTTTCATCACTCGTTGGGACTCGTCATGTTCAAGCACATGCCCGGGCATAGCATGTTCAATCACCTAGGCAAGTGCCAACTGCTCCTGGCCTACCTCGGTGGGGTGGGTGCCAGGGGGGTCTAACCACCAGGATATGGGCAGGAGCATGTTCCACCCACCTCTGAGTCACTCGACCCAGAGGTGGTGGCCCAATGTGGCCCAGCGTTGTCATGAACGCTTGGCGCAACGGCCACAGACCCTGCCCGAGGCCGGATGGGTGGCCGTTGGGACGGGTGGCAAAGATCCACGACATCCCGCAGAATCCTGGAAGAACATCCATCATCCCGTCCATCTAGTAACAAGTGCATCGGTGCTAGTAACAAGTGCATAAATTAATTAATTGTAACAACTGGCTACTAGTAGTTTCTTGCTACTAGCAGTAAGAATGCTCCTAGTAGTGATGCCAGGAGCCCCTAGTAGCTTCTTGCTACTGGTAGTCACCATTCACCACTCTCCACTCTCGGTGAATCTCACCACTCATCCATTGCCGTCGCTGGGACGCGGTGGAGCCCGCCATGGTGGGCCCACGAATCGGCTCCAAGGACCCCATGGCTCAGGGGGTGGTCTCTTGGGCCCGGCAGCCAAACTGGGTCTCTTGAGCCCGGCAGGAACAATTTTTCAGGAGCAATGGCAGATCGTTTCTTGAGATAGCTCTGATATGTTTGGTAATTACTGCAATTACTATATGACCTATATATCCCTTTTGTGAATTCAGTCAGTCTTCAAGTCTAGGATGCCTGCTTCAATCATGGCCTTGGGCTATCTTTGGCTGCACTGAAACTATAACTGATTCTTTGCCGCATTTGCTGCAGAAAAAGTGTCCAGAACTGAATCCCAATCAAACACAGTCAACTGCAACTGCACTGAATCCCTGCTGCGTGGTGAATGAGTGTGAGCCATTTCGGGTCTCAGAGCCGTTTCTCGCGCGGGCACGCGGCTTTGGTCAAGGCGAACTTGTTGCGCTGACCATTGAATCCACCAGGGTTGGAGAGTATATTTAGTCACAGTAATAATAACAAAATATTATTGAGACCCCCCAAATAGACGGAAAAATAGATCCCCACATATCCCCACTAAACATGCATTAATTATGGACACCGTGCCACTATCTACTTAGGGGACCACTATATTATAGTTATCTTGCTGGCTTTTGTATTATCTTTTTGGCCACGCCTTAGTAAGGCGATCATTGGTGGATCTGGATCTGCGGCGATTTTGGTGGGGCACTTCCTCATGCACGCTCATGCAACTGTGGCTATACCCCAGAACGTCTAAGAAAAGTCAACAATGAATCCACAAGAACATCAGGACTTTGTTGTTTCCAGAGTCCTAATATGTCCCGCTACTTTCAAGGAAGATTCCGCCGCAGATCAACTACTATATCCCCTTTGTTCTCGACGTTGCGCCATCGATGGCACTAGGTCGACGTTGGCCGCGCCTGCGGCGCGGAACACCTGGAGAAATGCCGAAGGTCTCGCGTGGGGCGATATGGACCATGCACCCTTGGCACGAACATGGGCCTTCTCGGAATCTGTTGGCCCGAAGAATCAAGAGCACTTTTGGCTCACTGATTACTTTGGGAATTGTCTATCCCTTTGTTCTTCAAGTCTTGGAGTACACAAGCGTTTGCTTGTACAAAAAGGATGGGAGACGGGAGATGGTACTTTGTCATGTTTTACTCTCTCGGATCAGGGAGTCACGACGTTTTCAAGTGAAGCTCGACGTTGTTTCTCTCTCTTCAGCATCGGTTCGGCGTCGGCCTGTCGTCTTGAGGTCTTCTGTGCGTCGGCGTCGGCGTCGTCAGGTCCGCAAACATCCCAACTCCGTCGTCGAGGTGTCAAGCCCCTGACAACATCTGCCGCTGGTGTCAAGGCCCTGGCATGTTCTCCGAACGGAGAGCTGGAAAGAGGAGTTTTGCTCCAGTGTGGCTATGTAGGCTTGACAATGTTGTGGCAGGTGTATGGCATTCTGGTCTTGTTGGCTTTAACAGACCACCGGGGCGCTTGGGTTCCATGCAAGAAGCTTCAAAGCTATATGCAAGGGTTTGGCTCCATGAAATCTCAAAGCTGCTGAACATATCTCCATCACAAGCTCCTGAGTTACTCAATCAATTTGCCAGAACCTCTTCAGACATTTCCTGAGTCACTAGAGTCAGTGAAAGCTGCTGAGGTACTTAATCGTTTTGATGGACATGTTGAACTTCGGGATTGTCTTCCCACTGCTGCCATCGATTGCAGAGGAGTTCAATGCCTCGGCGATGCAGGTTGGTCAAATCTTTAAAAAAACAGCAGAAACTGCCTAAAAGCTATTTGTTTTGTGTTTGTCTTTTGGAGAATGTTTGCAAGATAGAAATGCCTTCAACACGTGTTTTTGTTTCATGAATACTGGCTTTGCATTCATATGCTCGGAATGCCCCAAACCCTGGCAAACAGTGAATAGGGGACTCACAAAAATACCATATATAATATATATATATAACTTATATAACCTCATAGAACAGGTTCCTAAACATTAGGAAATGGTAGGGGACTCAAAAATGCGCACATCGTAATATTTGATCATACCTCAGATAGTTACAGCAACACTAATATACACCGATATGATATGTGTTTGTGTCCTCTCAATGCAGGATTTCCTTGAGTAAATCAATTGAAATAGGAACAACTGGAGTAGGATACTACATCATAGCGGTACGATGCATCATCGCAGTAGGACTCCTACCCTTGCATGTGTTTTTGAGATTTGTTGAGTATGTTTGATCCACCACATGCTGTCATGTAGCATAGGAAGTCCAGCTTGAGCAGAGTAAGGGTCAACGGCGACACGTCGCCAGACACGTCGCGGTCTGCTGCGATTCGGTCGTGTTGGTTTGGTTTGGGATTCGATGAAGTTGCTCGTCAGCAACTCGATGGCCCCAAAAGGCATTGTAAGCCTGCAGGTCGGAAGCTTAGCCACCTTCTTCTCCGTGGCGCAAGTGATCTTTACACCTGTTCTAGGCGGGGTAGAAGGGAGTTGTTCATTGGGAAGGAGGTGAAGGTATGGGTGGTTGGTTATTTGAATGGGCTGGGAAGCTCATTGAACAGCAACCCGAGCTGGATTGATGGGTGAACCACCCCTGCGAGCTGTCGATGCGGGGCAGTCGTGGCAGATGTGGGGCGTAAAGCTATGTGATGTCATCACTAATCGTGTTGTTTCGGTGTACCTTATTTAAAGTAACATTTCAAGCTCTCAAAAACAGTTCCCAAGAAAACATGCTGTACTGCATTGGATACAGATGATCTACACACCGACTTGTCAATCCCGTAGCCCTTCCCAGAACTTCCAGTGGCTAATTTTACTCCACCTGATAGTCATCATCCACCACTACCAGAATGGTAAAATATGGTAAAATTAGTCATTTGGACTATCAGGGCTTGTAAGCTGGCTGCTCTGTCAGCCTTTTGAATCCAGAAGTCGGAAAGATTATGCAGCCACTTGTGAGTAGACGGCAGGATTTGGTGCATGATCGAAGGATTCCGTCGCATTGCTAGATCCGGGGTATCTCAGCCCACAACTCATGCTTCATTGAACCAACGGGCCAACACCCAACGGGCCAACGCCAATTCCACCTTACCTATTACGAATCGGGCCCACTGGGCCGATTCTCTCACGTATTTATGTCTTGGAATCCTACCCTTGAAAAGCATCACCGGTGTTCCACCTGGATCCAACTGCAGACGTCTCCTTTCCAACCCGCCTTCCTCGCCTCGGGTTTCTCACCGTGTCGTTCTCCCCAGGCTGGGCCTCCGATAAGTTCGGTCGACGCCCGGTGCTGCTGATCGCCGTGGCGGGCACGACGGCCTCCACGGTGTTGACGGGAGCGGCCTGGAACTTCACCATCATGTGCCGCTGGTTGGATTGGAGGGGATGAATTCCAATTGGGGGGAGGGTGGAAAAGGGAACAACCACCATCATGTTGGTTGGAAAGATGTTCAGTTCCAAGAATCATGAAGAAGGGAAAAGAACATCCCCCTGGTAATGAGTCGAATGTTGCGACCGTTTAAAGCAACCGTCAACGGACGAGGGATGGCATGCAGCGACTCGTGGAGGGAAGGAAAGACTCTGCGACGATGGTTCTTTGGGTCCATGGTCGTGACCGAAGGGCCCGACCGAACCGGGGCCCGAACCTTGCAAACGTCCGGGGCCCTAGTAGTAGTAGTAGCAGTAGTAGTAGGTAGGTAGTAGGTAGTAAGTAGTAAGTAGTAAGTAGTAAGTGGTAAGTGGTAAGTCGTTAGTAGTTAGTAGTAAGTGGTAAGTGGTAAGTCGTTAGTAGTTAGTAGTTAGTAGTGAGTAGTGAGTAGTCAGTAGTAAGTAGTAGGTAGTAGGTAGTAAGGTAGTAAGGTAGTAAGGTAGTAAGGTAGTAAGGTAGT